TGCCTACCAATGTTGGGGCCCTGCAGGATCTGTTACAATTCTGCAGGGCCTGTGAGGCAGAAATGTTCCGCCAAGGATACAGCTGAGGACAGCAACGGTATTTAATATCAGTTTAGCATCAGTGGTCTAATGGTTAACAATTGCCAACAGATATTTGGTTCACCCCCTCCCTCCACAGTAAAATAAATTGTGGGTCAGAATTGTATTATGGCACCATGTGGATATCGGGTATTTCTACAATTTTATTTTTAGACTATTTAATGCTTTTAAATGTGTTTTTGTAGAAATTTGTTGTATACTTCCCTGAGCCCGCTTGTGGGGAGGGCAGTATAAAAGCCTAATATAATAAATCGGTTTAACCAAAACTACTGGGACGGCTGTGTTAGTATTGTGGCACCTTAAATATGAATACATTTACAGTATTTTGACATTTTGGTTTTGAAGCTGGTTATGATTTGGAGGTAGGGGATATTATTTGTTCCCTGGGCTTATGTGCTGTGTAAATGTCTGTGAAATTGATTCATATTAAGTCACAAGTTTCTGTGTTCCTTCTCTGCTCAATATTTTACTATAAGAATTAGGATTATGTTCTCTAAATGGATAAGAATGACCTGGAAACAGTAAACTACACACACACCTTTAGTTCTTGTTTCCAACATCTATCTGAATAGTGTAATCCAGTAATTATTTACACAGTGGCTTTGGAGCCACATGTGGATCTGTGGCATGCCACCTATGGCTCTTCTGAGCATTGTTCCTCCAATGTAACACCTATACAGCGTTTCAGGAAAGTGGGTAAGGCGAACGCCCTGTGGTGTAATCAGTGGTATGCTATATATACCAGTAGTATAACTTAGATATTTTAAGGGCTGGAGCAAATAATGCATTGTACCCCATTTCACAAGATTGGTTTGCAGCAAAACAGTTAGATTTGACTCCAGTAGCGCTTGAGAGACCAAGAAGAGTCTCAGGGTGTAAGCCTTCGAGAGTCAAAGCTCAATTCCTCAGACAAAGAACAAAGTTTGAGTCCAGTGGCACTTTTAGGACTAACAACGTTTTGTTCAAGGTAGAATAAAAGTGGAGATCTGAGCCCTTTTATCCTAGTCAGAAGGTGGGAGGGGTGTAAAGGATGCTTGTAAAAGATGCAGAAGTTCAATGTATGTTGCAGCAGTAGAAAAGAGCAAGAGTCCAGTAGCACTTTAAAGACTAAGAGAATTTGTGGCAGGGCATGAGCTTTCTTGAGTCACTGCTCATTTCTTCAGAAAACTCATACCCTGCCACAAATCTTGTTAGTCTTTAAGGTGCTACTGGGCTCTTGCTCTTTTCAGCTGCTGCAGACAGACTAACACAGCTACCCATCTTAATGTAGGTTGTAATCGGCTTGATTAGAGCAGAGGAGAACTGCTTGGGGGCAGAAAATTAGTACAGGGACACAGGATTTTTATGTCACTACAGATGCTAATTTTCTGCCCCCAAGCATTTCCCCTCTGCTCTAATCAAGCCGATTACAATATGCATTGTACCTTTGCATCCTTTGCAAGCATTCTTTACAACACCCCTCCCACCTTCTGACCAGGATAAAAGGACTAATCTCCACATCTATTCTGCTGTTGAATGGGGCTTTGACTCTCAAAAACTTACTCCCTCCAGTTCTTTGTTGATCTCTAAGGTGCTAGTAAAGGTTTCCCTTGCTCGAAAGCCAGTCGAATCCGACTCTAGGGGGTGTTGCTGATCTCCGTTTCCAAGCCAAAGAGCCAGCACTGTCCAAAGACGTTTCCATGGTCATGTGGCCAGCATGACTAAACACCAAGGCACACAGAATGCTGTTACCTTCCCACCGAAGCAGTACCTATTTATCTACTTGCATTTTCTTACTTTCAAACTGCTAGGTTGGCAGGAGCTGGAGCGCAGAGACGGGAGCTCACTCTCTCATGCGTCACTAGGGTCTCAAACTGCAAAACTACAGACCTTCCGGTCTGCAGCTCAGCGTCTTAACCTCTGAGCCACCGCAGTCCAACTCAAATTCAACTGTTCTGCCCTGGTTTGATGTCACTGTATTCCAAAAAGTCATCTGTTACCACTAAGAAGCCACTGGGGGGGTATTTGTTACATCTACTGAAGTACTAGCACATTAATGAACATGTTAAATTCCTTTTTTACCACCTTCATAGATATTGCAGTGATGGGGAAAGTAAGCTACTTTGATACAGCCCTACAACCCCCCCCCCCCGGGTATTAGAAGTGGAAGGGAAGTTTTCCTGCTTTTGTTATTTCTGCTGTTATTATCAGTATTCTTTTACAAAATACACTAAACATAATTTGTTTTCTTATTCAGGTAATTCAACCCTGAATATTTGTTTGATTTCCAGCAGATTTCCAGCACACAGTCCTGATAGAATGTTGTTGCTTTAAAATGCTTTGTTTCTATCCCTCCTTCCTGCCCTTACAAGGGCCACCATGCGTAAGAGGAGAGAAGTAGGGTTCTGGATTATCAGGATTTTGTCTGTTGAAATTCTTATGAAGAGGAAATAAGCCGTTGTGTTCTTTTTTTATTGATTTTCAAGTGAGAAATTGAAATGTAATTATTACAGTGAAACCTTTTATAACAATCAAAGCGAACAAACAAAATAATGTGTGTGTGTGTGCACATACACAAACACACACAATTTCTGCCATGCACCATTCTAGGACTAACTGAATCTTTAGTCACCAAATTATTGTAAAAGTATATTATCATTCTAATTATGTACATCGGTGCATTTTTTAAAAACAAAAGCCCATTTGCGTACTCACTTGTTCTTAACAAGGTGAATCTATAAACCTGAAAGGCTTGCATTTAAAGAGGATGGCAGTGTGCACTGAAAAATTACAGAATTATGTCCTGCAGTGGTTTTTTAATGAGAAAATCAAATTGGTGCCTCCTCAATACATTTATGAAACCCATGGTATCATTCATATATTGTGGTTTATCACTGTATTTTGAGACAGCATAGTAAAGTTTAGGACATATCCCCGTATCCATATTCAAAAATGTAAATCCCAGTTCCTTACTCCTATGAATTTGGCTTTATCAGTAGATAGATGAGTGTCATATTAAATACTGATCATGCTAGTACTTTGTAAAGACCCATATTAGACAGGCAGACATATGTTATATATAGTATGGTTAATCAATTTGAGATGATGATAAAGAAGAAGAGCTGGTTTTTATACCCCACTTTTCTCTGCCCTAAAGGCTTACAATTGCCTTCCCTTCCTCTCCCCACAACAGCCACCTTGTGACTGGTAGATGGGCTGAGAGAGCCCAAAGAGAACTGTGACTGGCCCAGGATCACCCAGCAGGCTTCATGTGGAAGACTGGGAAATCAAACCTGGTTCTCCAGATTAGAATCTGCTGCTCTTAACCACTATACCATGCTGGCTGTCAGTTGTCCAAAGCAATAGACAGTGATGCCAGAAATTCCATGTTGTGAAGTGTCTTCTGTACTTGCCTTTGGTCCTCTTTCTTGTCCTACCATGGCATATTTTAACTAATCGGTTCAATTTTTGTTAGTCTTAGTTTTCATATAATCGGAAACTATAACATTAATCTTGGCTGCTTGTTACTGTATAAATTTTCTCTTTGTGGAGTGTGGATCCACCACTTGCCGTCTTCTTTTTTGTATACTGCTTGGTTTTGTTTGATTCTTCCTTTCAGTTGAAATACCATGAATCAGGACCTTATGTATGCTACTGGTTTTGCTCAATGTTATTCAGTGTTTCAAATGTGGAAATATGGGTTTGCACATCACACATTCTTGGACTAATTTTGGACTAATTTTGGATTCCCTTCAGAGGCAACAGGAGCAGGGAGAGATGGGGAGAAAAGATTCTGGTCTTACCAAACAGCTATTGGCTGCATCTCCTATCCTTTTTATTTTATTTATTTATATTTACATTTATACCCCACCCACCCTGTAAATAGGCTCTGGGCGGCTTACAGAAGATGGCCAACAGGCCGATACAAATAAAACAATAAAAATATTAAAATCCCTTTTTGATGTTAAAGGACCATTCTAGGTCTACCCTATCACTTGTTAGTCCCTTTCTCCATCTCCATCTCTTTAAATTTTAAAGAATCATTATTTTCAATGGCGGTAGACCTCCTTTAAGAGGCCTGGTCTTCCCTTAGAAAATAATGGCCCTTTAAAGTATAAAGGGTGGGAGATGCTGCCAAACAGCTGTTTGGGGTGGCCAGCTTCCTCTCTCTACCTCTTGGCTCCTGAGGCCAACCCCCCCCCCCAGTGTTCTGAAATCCCTGTGGATATTTTGTTACTCCTAGAATTTGGAGGTATTTAGAGTCATTGTTGGATATCCCTCCAAAAACTAATTTTTGGTTTATTTTTGGCTCAGGCAGGGCTATTTTTGGGCAGGAACGCACAGGAACGGAGTTCCGGGTGGCTTCAGAGTTGGCCACGGCCACTACGGCCAAAACCTCTGCGTGTGTGGCTACAGAGGGAAGGTCTGGAGAGCAACACACCCACCCCAGTGACTCTGAGGCAGGGGGGCTGGGGGGGGCCCTGGAAGGATCGGGGAGCCCGGGCAAGCCAAGAGAAGGCATGGGGGTGTGACCTAATATGCTAATGAGATGCACTGTCATGGGCGTGGCGTAATAGGCTGATGAGTTTCTGGTGTTGGGTGTGGCCTGTTATGCTAATGAGTTCCTGCTGGGCTTTTTCTACAAAAAAAGCCCTGGGCTCAGGTATGTCGGAGTGCACACTCATGAATGGAACCTTGCATGCAGAGAATTAGCAGGATGGGTGCCCCCTTATTTATGTATCCACATTGTAACCTCTATACCATAAGGATAAAAATCTACAAAACCACTTTTTAGGCTTTATGGTACTTTGAAATGTGTTTTATTTCCAGAGGCAGATTCAAAAACATATATTGTAAAACATATTCATAAAAGAGAACATTTATTAGTAACACTAATGCATCTCCTTTCTTTGATTTTGCAGATTAGAGATACCAAATCATCAGATCAAAAATCAACGCTATTGCATTTTCTGGCTGAAATTTGTGAAGAGCATCATCGAGACATCTTAAAGTTCCCAGATGAACTGGAACATGTGGAGAGTGCAAGCAAAGGTATGCAAAGAGATAAGCCCCTTTTGAGAAATTTGTATTTTTGTAGGTATTGAAAATACTATGAGCATGTGATTTTAGATCATTCAACCTGTAAACCTTAATAGTCATCTTGGAGATATCTATATCTATATGTGTATGTGTGTGTGCATGCGCGCACACACACCTCCGATCTAGATGTGTGATGATTTAAGGAAAAGCAAAAAAACCCCCATGTTTTGCTGTGATGTTCTGTGCAGTATTAATGCAGCATGTAAATGAACTTCACGGGAGGTGTCATTCACTGTCTTGATCATTGGTGTCATTCACTGTCTTGCAATTTTTATTACTGTGCATGTTTGCAATCAATATTTAACTATCTCTATGACTTATACTGATCATCAGTATGAACTGTGTAGTTGATTTTATTGGAGAGTGCAGACCTGCACTTCTTCTTGGCCACTTTTTCTTCCCTATGCTGCGGCTCTGTAATGTACTATTTTGGGAGGAAGAGGTTCCCAGTAATGTTTTACTGAAATAACCAAGCAGTCCCACCAGCAATTTGATGTATATAGATAATAATAGTTCAGTTTGTCCTAATCAACCAAACAGTCCAATGCAGAATATAACCTGTTCCGTTAAAACACAATTGAATAATAATAACAATAATAATAATAATAACCTAAAGCAGCAGAACAGCTGGAAGAAGCTGTTTATCTGTCACCATCTTGCCTCTTCTGCAGTTTTACCAGATCACATTTATTCCAAATGTCAATTCCTCCTGTGCAAACTTCCTGTGATATTTATAATAGAAATTTATAAATTCATGTGTTCATACAGATAAGAACAGATGTAAAAAGCTAGGTTGTTGTGGTGTAACTATGGTTTTGATACATCTTTGGTAACTAATTTTTCTACTTACTAATTTTAGAGTGTCTTAAGCTTGCTTCTTTTTATTTTTTTTACTTATAAAAATTATCTTTACAAAGCCTTACTAGTTTACCAGACATGTTTGATAAATCCTTTATTGGTTTTCTCCTGTGGCTAACACTTTAAGTTTTAGCTTTGAGGATTTTTTTTTGTAGTTTGATTTAAAACCTCTAGTGTGTTAGAGGTCAGCTCAAGGGATTAAACCAAAAGAGTTGGTAAAGTTTAATTAGAACTATTGCACCAGTAGGAGGGGAAAAGATTTATTAATGGATCTGAATTCTCTATTAATCCCAAGATTTTGCATAAATCTGAAGTGGGTTTTGCTTCAGTTAAATTTGTTCCATTCTGTAAGATAAAAGCTAGTTAAATATTCTATAAACAGCATTAACTGATAAGCAGTGTAAATCACTGCATATTTTAATGACTAAACTCAAGGCTTAAAGATTTCTGTACAGTGATCCGTAAGCAGCAGAGGCCTAATGCATGCACTTCTCATAGGTTTCATCTTGTTTGATATTCTAAATGCAATTTTGATAGGGTTAACAGCTGAAACCAACAGAAGACTCACCCAATCCAGGTGGGAGGCTCACTGGTGATGCATTGATGTCGCCACTGCCACAATGACATCTCTTCTGGGACAACGGCAAATGGTGTCATTGTGTTGCCAATTGACATTCATTCATTCAGCCCAAAATCTATGATTTACCTAGAGTTTTGCTTGAATTCTAGCATGTCCATGGTGATATGACGACATCACTTCTGGTCGCCATTAAAGGGATGTCTCAGTGCCAACAGTGGCCACATCTCCCCCTCATTTTCCCCACACTACTCATTTGAAGAGTGGTGGGACCAGGCAGTGAAACAACCTTAATTTTTTTATTGCTTTTTTATTATTTTCTCTTAAAAAGGGTGGGATACAGAAGGGAAAAAAAAGAGGGAAAATATAGATTCATCAGGTTTGTGAAATATTATGAATTGTTCCGTACAACAAGTAAAATCAGATGTATTACCAAATGTATTATATATTTCAAATATAAAAGGAAACAATAAAACTTCAACCCTTAATATCTTAAGGAGAAGAAAGATATGTTCCTCTGTTTTTAAGGGTTTCTCACAAGGCAATAATTTTATGTGGTAGCTAGTCATTTCCACACATGTTGGCTATACAAATGTGGAGAAACATTAATGTTTCTGATTAATATTATTATAGCAATGCATTATAGCAATGATACAGTTTGGTGTAGTGGTTAAGTGCATGGACTCTAATCTGGGAGAACTGGGTTTGATTCCCCCCTCCTCCACTTGCAGCTGCTGGATGACCTTGGGCAAGCCATAGTTCTGACAAGAGCTGTCCTTGAAAGGGCAGTTCTTGAAAGAGCTCTCTCAGTCCCACCTACCTCACAGGGTGTCTGTTGTGGAGAGAAGGGAAGGAGTTTGTAAGCCGCTCTGAGACTCCAAGTGAAGGGCGGGATATAAATCCAATCTCTTCTTCTCTTCTTCTTCTTCTTCTACAGTATCACACTCTTAGCAGAAGAGTATACAGTGCCAGAAGTATTCACATGAGGACAGCATTTTTAACAAGTCAGTAAGGTTCATGTATTTCAGATAACACTTAAGAGCTTGACTATCCCATATAAGCAGAATGGAAATTAGATTTTAATATGAAAAGGTCAGGGGGATTAGGAGATTCAATAATACGTCTCCTAGAATCTTCAATAATATGCTCTTTATTCATAGCAAAATCTTGCATGTTATTAAAGAAAGAAGTTAGTTGCATACCTAAAAGCTTATGCAAGTGAAAAGTAAACAGCACTAATAATTATTCCAGCTCTCTCCAGAAAACGATATGGAAATTTAAGAAAAAAAGGAGAGTAGCTTGTTACCCCTACCCAGGGGTCTTTTTGTAGAAAAAGAGCTGCTGGAGCTCATTAGCATAACTCATTAGCATATGCCACAACTCATTAGCATATGCCACACCCACTGACATCACCGGAAGTGTGTCAGAAGGCAACACCCCCTGACATCACCGGAAGTGTGTCAGAAGGCAACACCCCCTGAGATCACCGGAAGTGTGTCAGAAGGCAACACCCACCACTCAGGCTCCACCCCAAAAATCTCCAAGGTATTCCCACCTCAGAGCTGGCGAGCCTATCTGATGGCACACGTGGGGGAAAACAAGCAAACCACCCATGTCAGGTAAAGAGGGAGGATACCAGGTCAATATATTTTTATTCTCCTTGGCATTAATGGCTGAAGTGATTTAGTGTTCCTTTTCTGTTTGACTGGCAGCCTTCCTCCCTGTTGTAGTTGACTGCCATTTAGTGTTATTTCTGTCAGCCACAACAAGGTCCCTTTCAGGG